CCGCATATGAAAGAAAAACAGGCATCACCAGAAAAGGAAGTAAACGAAATGGAGGCAATGGAGGCAAGCAACCTGTCAGAGAAAGAATTCAGAGAAATGGTCATAAGGTGGCTGAAAAGAATGGAAGACAAATTCAACAATATGTGTAAGAACCAAGAGGAAATGAAGAAGAACCAAGAAGAAATAAAAAATGACATCACTGCTATAAAGAACTCAAAAGAAAACATCAACAGTAGACTAGAAGAAGCAGAGGACCGCATCAGTGAGCTAGAAGACAAGCTAGGAAAAAATACCCAAGCAGAGCAGCTTCTAGGAAAAAAAATTAAAAAGCAGGAGGAGAGCCTAAGAGAACTTTGGGACAACACGAAATGAAACAACATCTGCATAATAGGGGTGCTAGAAGGAGAGGAAACTGAGCAAGGAATAGAAAACCTGTTTGAAAAAATAACGACAGAAAACTTCCCTGATATAGGGAAGAAAAAACTCACACAAATCCAAGAAGCTCACAGAGTCCCAAACAAAATGAACCCCAAAAGACCAACGCCAAGGCACATTATAATTTAATTGCCAAACACCAACGACAAAGCAAGAATCTTAAAAGCGGCCAGAGAGAGACAGAAAGTTACCTACAGAGGATCCCCCATCAGACTAGCGACTGATTTCTCAACAGAAACACATCAGGCAAGAAGGGAATAGAATGAAATATACAAAGTCATGCAAAGGAAGGGTCTGAATCCAAGAACACTGTACCCAGCAAGGTTATCAATCAAAATTGAGGGTGAAATCAGGAGCTTCACAGACAAAAAGGACTACGGGAGTTTATTACCACCAAACCAGCAATGCAAGAAATGCTAAAGGGTCTGCTGTAAAAAGAAAAAATAGGAAACAAAGAAGGAACACAGGGGTAAAGAATAAAAATGGCGACTAACAATTATCTATCAATAATAACTTTAAATATAAATGGATTAAATGCCCCAATCAAAAGACATAAGGAAAAAGAAAAAAAAAAGAAAACATGACCCATATATCTTCTGTCTACAGGAAACCTACCTCAGAAAAAAAGACGCACACAGACTGATGGTGAAGGGATGGAAAAAGGTTTTTCAGGTGAATGGAAATGAAAAGAAAGTTGGGGTAGCAATACTTATATCTGACAAATTAGATCTCAAAGTGAAAGAAATAAAAAGAGATAAGGAAGGCCACTTCATAATACTAAAGGGATCAATCCAACAAGAAGAAATAACTCTGGTAAACATATACGCACCCAATATAGGAGCACCCAAATACATAAAAAAAACTTCTGGAGGAGATCAAGGGAGAGATTGACAGCAATACAATCATAGTAGGGGACTTAATACCCCACTATCACCATTGGACAAATCCTCTAAACAAAAAATCAGCAAAGAAACATCAATCCTAAATGACTCACTAGATCGGATGGAATTGACATATTCAGAACATTTCACCCCAAAGCCACAGAATATACATTCTTCTCAAGTGCACATGGGTCATTTTCAAAGATAGACCATATATTGGGTCACAGGCAAAGTCAGCAAATGCTGTAATTGAGTGCATTGAAAAACATCATATTCCACTCGATAAAATTGTCTCAATTTCAACAGACAGGGTGAAAAGTATGACCGGCATAAGAAACGGGTTTGTTGCTATTTTGAAAGAAAAAACTAATCACGAGATACTTACTTACCATTGCATCATTTATCAAGAAGGGCTTTGTGTGCAAACATTTCCAGAAGAAATTTGCAAAGTGATGGAATTGGTGATTAAGATTATCAACTCCATTATAGCTAAAGCTCTTAATCATCGCCAATTTAAAGAATTTTTAGTTGAAATGAAGAGTGAGTACGCAGATCTTCTACTACATAACAAGGTACGTTGGTTATCAAGATGAAACGTTTCGCTTCCTTATTAACAGAAATTAAAGCATTTCTCCTTGAGAAGGGTGTTCACTATCCAGAACTAACGAACGATCAGTGGATACAAAAATTTTATTTCATGGTAGACGTTACGTCTCATCTAAATCAGCTTAATCGTAAACTACAGGGGAAAGGAAAGACAATTTTTTCGATGTTAGAATAAGTTATTTCATTCGAAAACAAATTATCTCTTTTTGCTCAAGATTTTGAAAGAGAAACTTTGATTCACTTTCCAAGCCTGTTGAAAAATCGCCAAGAAAATAATTGATATTGACATTTGCTATTTCAAAACAACACTTTTAAATATGAGGGAAGCTTTTCTCAACAGGTTTTAGGAACTCAGAAACAGCAAAGCGACATTAGCCTTTGTTAAAAAACCTCTTAATGCTACTGTAACAGAATTAAATTTTTCTCCCTTTAATATTGACATTGGCAACTTTGAAATGCAATTGCTGGATTTAAAAAACAAAGAACTGTGGAGCTCGAAATTTGAACGTCTTTGTGCTGATATAGAAATATTGGAGAAAAACAAATGTGAACTTAGTTCACAGCACAAGTGGTCTGCTTTGAAAGACCTGGAGAAGGAAGATATGCTGATTTTTAACACCTGGAATAGTATTCCTGATTCATATAATCAACTGAAAAAACTAGCGTTTTCTGTTCTTTCCTTATTCGGGTCTACATATTTATGCGAACAATCATTTTCATGCATGAACCTTATCAAAAGTAAATTGAGAAGTCGTCTTATTGATGAGAACCTGGAATCGTGCCTAAAATTAAAAACAACATACAAACCTGACTTACCCAAACTTTTCAAGGAGATGCAAGGCCATTGTTCACATTAGTGTTTGTCAGCCATTGTCATGATTTAATTTTATGGATATTGTAAGGTAACTTGTAAGGAATTTAATTTTATCAATAAATAATATAATTATTAAGTATGATATCAGGTTTTATTCAACGTACCTATAGTTTAACTAAGACTTAAAACTTTAAGTAAAGTTTATTAAGTTAATTTTAGGAAACATTGTGGAGTGAAAGAAGATGTAGTGTCGAGGATTGAGAAAGGTATGTTGAGATGGTCATATAGAGAGGATGAACGAAAGGAGATAGATGAAAGAAGTATATAAGACGAGTGTGGATGGGAGAGTTGGAAGGGGTCGACCTCAGTGAATGTACCTCAATCAGATTGAGGACATTTTTAGCAAAGGCCAACTTAGGAGTACCCTGATTAAGTTAATAACAATGTACCTACCTATATAGTTTAAGTTTAAAAAATTTGGCTCTCAAAAGAAATTTCAATTGTTGCACTGTTGATATTTGGCTCAGCTGACTAATGAGTTTGCCAACCACTGTGCTAGGCTACAGAGAGGTGGGAACAGTGGGCACAATTCTGTCATCTTCAGGAGGCAAAAGTCTGAGAACGCAGGGGCAAGGGATCTGGTTTCAACTTGTCATTGACCTTAGGCAAGAAATGGGACTTTTATAGGCCTGTGATTCCCCTTCTCTAAAGTAAAGACAAAAAAGACTTATCCACATCATGTCCCTTATATCTTAGGATCCCACCATGAGGTAAGAAAGCAAGTGTCTGTGAAGCCGGGAAAGTGATTTAAGTAAGTGCATGCCATTTTCATTACCATCATCATAGTAATGCTATGATACAGCCTGATGACTTTGGGGAACTATTTATAAGAGTTTTAGAGGAAAAAAAACAAAGACTAGAGGGAGACGGATGGGAAGGGGTAGGAGAGGCAGAATGATAAAATCCTATATAATAAAGAGCTAATATGCAAATGGTTACCACTCCCTCATGCCGTCATGCCTTAACGGCTCAGACATTCAACACTGGGGAGAGAGGAAGGGGGACCAGCCAGGCACAAATGAGCTCGAGAGAGAGGAATGGGGACCAGCCAGGCTGCAACCCGGGAGAGGGACAAGCCGCCCGCCCCGCCCGGGCGCCAGTGGCTGTGCCTGCGCCTGCGGCCCGGGAGAGGAACAAGTTACCCGCCCCATGGTCCCGAGCGCCAGTGACTGAGTCTATGGCTGTGGCCTGGGAGAGGGACAAGCCTCCCGCTCCGTGGTCCTGGGTGCCAGTGGCTGCACCTGTGCCTGTGGCCCGGGAGAGGGACAAGCTGCCCGCCCTGTGGTCCCCAGGTGCCAGTGGCTGCACCTGTGCCTGTGGCCTGGGAGAGGGACAAGCTGCCCGCCCCGTGGTCCCAGGTGCCAGTGGCTGCACCTGTGCCTGCGGCCCGGGAGAGGGACAAGCCGCACGTCCCGCAGTCCCGGGCACCAGCGCCTGTGGCCTGGGATAGGGACAAGCTGCCTGCCCTGTGGTCCTGAGCACCAGCAGCTGCGTCTGCACCTGTAGCCCGAGAGAGAAACAAGCCGCCTGCCCTGTGGTCCTGGGTGCCAATGGCTGCGCCTGCGGCCCGGGAGAGGGACAAGCTGCCTGCCCCGAGGTCCTGGGCACCAGCACCTGTGGATGCAGCCCAGGAGAAGCCACCTGCCCACGGTCTCCTGCAGCTGTGGCTGGCCCTGGCGAAGCTGGCCCGGGGTCCCGGGTGGCCTACGGCTTGGCCAGAAGGGAGGGGAAGCCCAGGTCCTGGGTGCTTGTGACCAGCTGGACGAAGGAATCCCTGGGCCCCGGGTGTGGGGGGGGGCAGAGCAGTTAGGGGTGATCAGGCCAGCGGGGAGCAGTTAGGGGCGATTAGGCCAGTAGGGGAGGAGTTAGGGGTGATCAGGCAGGCAGGCAGAGGTGGTTAGGGGCGATCAGGCAGGCAGGCAGAGGGGTTAGGGGCGATCAGGCAGGCAGGCAGGCAGGTGAGCGGTTAGGAGCCGGTGGTCCTGGATTGTGAGAGGCAGTCGGACATTCCCCAAGGGATCCCGGATTGGAGAGGGTGTAGGCTGGGCTGAGGGACGCCCCCCTCCACCCCATGCACGAATTTCGTGCACTGGGCCTCTAGTGTATACATAAGAGCATGGTAAGAGGCCCTAAGATCTGCTCAAATGGAAAAAAAGGGCCCTAAGTTCAGTTTCTAAGTATGGCCTCAAGTAAAACAGACTCACCATCTTCGATGTCATAGGCATAGGCTGAGAGGCGCAGTGTGGTGGCACAGTAGTCACATTTGAAGCAGCTCCGATGGAAGAACTTGCCCTCGGCACTCAGTCTCTCCATCACGTAGACCCGCTTCTGGCAAAAATAGCACGTGTCGCTGCCTCCCAAGTTCTGTGGAAACTCCTTCTTTACTGAGCCCTATAAAGGGGTGTGGGGCACACATGTCAGGGCAATGTCTCTCGGGCTCACCTCCAGGAGGTGCATGACCCTTTCTGTAGTTGAAACCAACCCTCACTAAGGGATTTTCTTCTGAGTCTGACTAAGATGCTCACTTTGCTCCTGGCTCTCCAAAAGAGCAGCTGCATTACTACAGTGGCTGTCACATGTGTCCCACATAGCACGCAGCTCCAGTGGATTCTGAATCCATGTGATTCAAGCCAAGAGGAAACATGAGTCTGTTTTACAGAATTTTATAAAAATCAAACCAAGTTATTTTGACACAACTGTTTTTGAAGGTAACATAAAAATATATATTAAGTGTTCATGTAGTTCTACATGGATGTGGGTACGCTGGACTCTAGAGCAATCACTTTTAGAGATATTAAGTATGCTTTCCCACACAACATTTTAATTAAAACAACTATCACAATCCTAGGAATTCAGCTACAAAATTCAGACAACCTCAAAAAAAATTACCATTTGGCACATACAATGTGTTACTATACTACTTAGAATGAAGCAGGTTTGTTTACCACAGCTGTCTTATATCTAGAGACAGTGTCCTTAGTATATATCTTACCAGTTCCTTCTTGTCTAGAAGGGTTTTGGGCTGTTCTTTCCTTTGAAGCTGATTGGCTATCTGCTCAGCCAATGAGCTCACTCCACCCGTGTACATCTTTATATACTTCTATTGGTTGGAGATTATAAAATGACCAGAATGAAGGAAAATGAGAAGGAAAAAAATAAATAAATTAAGAAGACAGGAAAAAAACTCTTTGAAAGGTATAAAGTGAATACAGGGTGCAGCAGCAAACCATGCCCACACAGTGTACAGTCAAGGAAACATGGTGGTAAGAAACACAGGTGTCAATGTCCACATAGAGCAATCAGCAGAGGCAGGAGCAATTAAATTCATTAAGGAAGAACATAGTCTTTCATGTCTTTTTGGAATATACAGTGCTGTGGAATGGGGAGGTGGGAAGTTGGGATGGATGCAAATACAGAAGAGAGTAAGAAGGGCCTATACCCTGGTGACTCAAATTACATATAGAGAACTTGAATGATGCCCATCCAAACACCAGATGTCAGACTGTTGACAGCATGATTCAAGGGTCTGGAGGGCTTTCAAAGTTATTTCCTCATTTAGAAAGCTCATTCTTGCAAAGGCTGACTCTCTACTTGGCTAATAGATAACTTCCTTCCTTATTGTTAATACTTCACTCATAAGCCCTGTCACATACCTAAAATATTCCTGAGCTTTATCTGAAAGACCCCTTCTCAGCCTATTCTCATTGTTGATTTTGTGTTCCACCCAAGCACTAATGCCAAAGCCTTCCAGACTGGGTTGGGCATTTTAGACACAGCTGTAGGAGGCTAACACCTGTAGCATATAGACAAGTTGCTCAGTTTAGTCTTGGGTAGTCAGAATATGTTTCTATTCCACAGGATTTTTTTTTATAGGTTGAAACAAGATAAAAAACCCAATCTACTCAATCCTTTCCCTAACAATGTTGAAGAAGTAACAGGAAGAAACTAACAAATTTCCATTGTAAACCTTCCTGCTAGGAAACCTAACTTCAAGCCTGTCCCCAGGGAAAGAGGTCAAAGTCTTGCTAGCAGTCCTTTAGAGACTCCATGCCCAGGTTACCCTTCCATGTGGAGATGGCCAAGACACCTAATGTGTGACACTTCTCTCATAAACTATGTGGAATAGGTTCTGCCTGCCAAGTGTGAGGAGCCCGACTCTAATTATGACTTAGAGAACTCAGAGCAGTTGTCTTGGGGATGCCAATAACTCTTGTTAGAAATTGGTTTGCATGGACAAACACAAAGCCATGTGTGAGGGAATCACTGGCCTGAGCAATGGCATGCCTTGGGCTAGCAGGAACCAACAAGAGAAGCACCGTAGGAGAAAACTAACTTTATGTAAAAATGGGCAAACATTCTCTAAGGTTTAGCTAGAACTGAGGAGTGAGTTATATTTTTTGATTTAAGTTAAGGAGATTTTTCAAGAATTGTTGCTATTTGCTCTTAAATGCTATAGCATTATAGTGGTTGAGAATAACAAGTGGCTTAAGTTAAACTTTCTTCAGATTAAAGTCCTTAGGAGAGCTGAGGCCTGGAACAGACAGACACCAGGCAGAGTTGAGCAGATTGTTTAACAGCTTCATTAATTTTGCAACAGGTAAGTGAGGGCATGGGACAGATGTCAAATTTGAGGCTGGGAAACTGAGCAAGCCCTTTTCTTGCACCAGAAACCAGCGCTGTCATTACATCCTATAATTAGCAAAGACAGTTTAGAGCTGCTGGCCTGCAAAGGCATTTGTCACATTTAGTTCTCAGTGATGTGATAATACTGACAAGCATCCCCCCCAAGAGAAGTTCTATTTGTTTCTGGCATAAAAAACAGATGGTTTCCTTCTTCCTATTCTTAGGAAATAGTGACAACATAGCAATCCCTGGCTTTATACTATTTCTGCCACACATGCACATGCTTCCACACATATACTCCATGATCTGCTACAGGCACGAGAATAAGAAACAAATAGAAAAGGCAAAGAGACCCTCTGTTCTCTGTAAACTACTGTACAGTATAGCTGTTTCAGGTCCACTGTAGGACATAGCAGGGTTCATTCCTTAAATGATCACAATTCATGAGGCACCCAGGACACTGCATATTCACGACTCCATTTAAAAGATTTAATTACACTGTAGTTCATATTTTGTAACACATATTAATATAAAGACATTTGGAGTTAAAAAAGCTAATGGCTGAAAAAGTTATAATTTTTTGGTATAGTTGAAATATAATGAAAGTGGGTTTATGTCAATAGAACTTGATGCAATGAAAGCTAGTAGCCTCTTCAACTTAGTTTATGCTTACAAACCCCAAATGTAAAACAGACTGATGTGCGACACACACACACACACTGGATTCCTACAGGAGACAAGCAAAGTTCAGAGCTCTGCATCATCCCTGGTGCCAGGTGGCATTTGTGTAGGTTAAGTGAGTAGAGGCTTAAGAGGAAACACAGCTTTGCCAATTTCCAGGCCTGCTACCTGTCGGAGGGAGTCAGAGGAAGGAGAGGCAGGGCGGCTGGAGGAGCGAAGATTAAGAGAAAGCTCCCACTGGTGGACAAAAAATCGCCGAGAAGGTTCAGGCCCTGGCTATAAAATACAAGATGGAGAAAAAAAAAATCAAAGGAAACGTTTTAAGTAAGTTACACATTGACCTGAACATAAGGAACCTGGCAGTTTTGGGTCCTTTTAAACTTTAGACTGTTATTTAAATACAAATGTAGTAAAGACATATCCTTAGTACCCAGAAGCATGAGTGGCTCAATCAAGGCTTGCATTTTGCTTTTAATTCACCCTTCCCTCCTGCTTCCAGGGATGCTTGTGCTAGAATATGATCACCATAGCCACGAACACCCTGAAAGCCCGTCTTCTCTTGGTGCTTACTTCATTTGCCCCATGTGGATAACGCTGTCAGCCACAAGGTGGCCAGAAGCAGAGGCGATGTCCTGCTCACTCACATACTCTGCTCTGCACAGTCTCTCACCAGCCTGAGCTGGGATTTCTCCTGGGCAGGAGATACTACCACCTATCACTCCACTAGCCTTATAAATAGCAGACAGTAGAGACAACAAATTTAGAGTGAAGCTTGCTACTTCTACATAAAGCCTAGGGATACTGCTTTTCCTCCTCCTATTGCTAGTGCTCAGAGAAACTCTGCTCACCAAGGAGCCAGCCAAATCCCAGAAATTATCCGGAGAAAAAACTTGAGCCCCCAAGTCCTCTGCAGATTGCATGCAGTGTGTGTACAAAAGTGGGTCAGGATCTTCCTCAGTGAGAGGCCCATTCAGTCCCTTGACACTGAAGGTGGCCAAGGGCATTAACAAACAATGACTGTTTAGTTTCTTAGCAGGTTCAGGGTGAAATATTTGCAGGGGAGAGAAGAGTACTAACATGGTGAGGAGACCCTCTGCCGCACCCCCCCCCCCCAGCTCTAAGCAGACCTATTGCGCTGCTACTTCAGCCCATACTAACTTCATAGCTTAGAGGGGTGACAATGTGAATGTCACCAGCCTCTGCTCAGCCAGCTCATAGGCTCTCAACTCAGCCAGCACTCGCAGGCCCAAGGAGGAGCATGGGGAGATCACGGTAGAGGAGTGTGACCCAGTAGAAAGAAGACAAAGCTTCCCCAGGGGTGGCAGAGCAATGGAAGCTAATGGGGGAAGGGAGGAGTTGAGAAGATGGTGGGGCAGAGGGCAGGTGAGTGCACAGGCACAATTAGGGGATAGTGGAAAGTCCTGCAAGAGAACATAAATGACCCTTAAAAACATCTAGACAGGAGCCTGCACTAAAGAATCTGGAAACCAGCCTTTTGGTAAAATGGAGAAAAAAACTCCCTGCAATTTTGCTATCTTTCCTCCTGTGCACCGCAGCCCTAGACTTCTAATATTCTCTCCTTGCCCACATCTCCTTTTATTCAACATACTTCTCTCCATTCTTCATTTCACAGTTTCAGTAAAAATCATTAAAACCTCATTAAATATGTATTCCCCAAAATGTAGGTATTGCCCCGCTCAGTGAAAATGGCTAGTTTTCTTTTTGAGAAGTATATAGCCCGGGGAAAAGGAAGACAGAGGCTAGACACACACAGAGCTCATGAGAGGAAGCAGTCCCAAGACTGAACAAAGCAGAGCTGGGCTGTGGGTGAGGAGATGAAAAGGACCCCACTCTCCACTTCAGGAAGTCTCCTTCCTGCTGCCGCAGCACCTGGTACCAAGTGCTCGTGGCAGTCCAGACCGCCTGCTTTTGGCTCAGTGACAAGGCACAGGAAGATAGCACTACGGCTAACTTCCCAATAGATCTGAGAAGTAACTAGATTTGCTGCTGAGCCATAATTATACTTCTCAGAGAGCAAAGGCAGAAGGGGAGGTAAAAGTTTTTAAGAGACCCATGTGAAATTAGCA